CAGACTCCAAACCCAACAGGTAGCTAGCTACACCTAGAAGACAGCTCTGAGAAGTAAGCACTTCCTAAGGAGTCTCAATACTACCAATACAGCTATCTATCATAAGCACCAACCCATGAGTTAAGCTAATAAAAGAAAATGGAAAGTCATGGAAGCAAGATCCAGCCTCAGACTTCCAGCTTGCAAAAGGCAAACCCAGGTGTTCATGAGATGTATGAATCTGAAAACTGTCCACCTGGGCTGTCTGTAATGGTGACAGTAGGTATAACAAAGCGGATGAATGAATCATTAGAAAAAAAGATCAAATCAAGAGCTGGCCAAATAGCTCAGCAGATTAAAGCACCTGCAAGCAGGTGCAAGGGCCGGGGGTTTGATCCCTAGGCCTGCCACACCGGCCCCGCCCCTGGGGTATACTGAGGTGGTAACTGAGACTGGGTGTGGCGGCACGCGCCTGTAATCCCAGCTCTTGGGAGGCTGTAAACAGGCAGGTCACTATGAGTCCGACCTATGAAACAGATTCATACAGATATCCAGGAGATTGAACATTCCACCAAACATACAAACAGCAGAATAAGGCAACATAAAGGTACAACATCAGAAATAGAAGACAGAATTTCAGTTAGCAATCACGAAAAGGAAGGTTTTAGGGGTTTTTTGTGCTGGAAATCAAACTCAGAGACCCTGCGCTTGCTAGGTGGGCGCTGCACGGCTGAGCTGTATCTCTGGACTCCATGAAAGATCTCTCAAAAATACCCACATGCTATGAAAAAGAAATTTAGGAGCTGCTAGAGGAAGAAAAAGAACATAAAATTAAGCAGAGTGAACGAAAAAGCAGGAGCTCGTGCAAACAACATAAAAACCCATTCACAGTCGTGATGGCACAAAGCTTCCAAGCAGGGAGAAGAATCCGACAGGAAGAGAGTGAGGCACACAGAACTCCAGTTGGCCACAATCAAAAGAGCCTATCCAAGGCATACAAGGTTCAAGATTCCAGAAATTAAACGCAAGAACAGAATATTAAAAGCTGACAGAAAAAAGAAACACATCACCTATAAAGGAAAGAGCATAGAATCGCAGCAGACTTCTCAACACAAGCCCTAAAGGCCAGGAGAGCTTGGAGGGAAGTGTTTACAAATCCTGAAAGAAAACAACCTCCGGCCCAAACTGATGCGCCCCGCAAACTATCTTTCATAATTGAGGAAGAAACTATATACTTTCATGACAAAGAATAGCTGAGGAAATCCATAACCACCAAACCAGTACTCCCACGTGTCCTGAAGGACATTCTAGGAGGAGACAAGGAGCCATTTTTTATTTTTATTGGTATTTATTTGGTACAGGGTCCCACTACACAGCTCAGACTCATAGTGATCCTCCTGTTTCTGCCTTCCTGGTGCTAGGATTACAGGCATGTGCCATCACACCTGGTTTTGGGACCAGCATGGTGCACTCAGGGTTTCGGGGCCTGCACAGCATGTGTACTGAGGATCAAACCTCAACTAGGGTCCATTCATATAGATTGGCAGAGCAGCACCTGCCTGGCAAGTGCAAGGTCCTGAGTTCAATTCCTGGTACCACCCTCCCTCCAAAAGAGAGAAAACAAGGACTATAGCTCCAAGAACCCCAACAGAATGAATCCACCTGGCAAGTCAAGTAACTAAACAGGAGGAAGATAAAAGGGAGCCATCAACAGGAAAATAACAGGACAAGGATAAGACCATATATACCAGTTATAACCATCAACATAAATGGTCTCAACTCACCAAGCACAAGAAACATGGGCAGAGTGAATCACGAAGCAAAATCCAACAATATGCTGCATATAAGAAACAGATTTAATTCAAAAAAGAAATTCATAGACTAGAAGTCAAAGAATGGAAAAAATATTTCATGCCTTAGGGACTCAGAAAAAAGCAAGAGTAGCTATTGTATTTACAGCCAAAGTGGATTTCAAGCTAAGATTACAACACAAAGAAGTTCACTACATACTTGTTAAAGGAACAAGCTGAGGAAGATATAATAATCATAAATGTGCATGCACCAAACACCAGTGTACCAAGCTATCTAAAACAAATATTAATGGATGTGAAAAATCAAATAAGCACTAACAGAACTGTAATGGGAGGGGCTGGTGAGATGGCTCAGTGGTCTAAAGCACCTACTTAGAACAAGCTTAGCAAAGCACAGGGACCGCAGTTCAATCCCCCAGCACCACATGCCAGCCAGCCCCGCCCCCTGGTGGGCTGAGCTGCCCCCCCCACAAATAATTAAATAAAATTTAAAAAAAAAAAAAAAGAACTGTAATGGGGGCTGTCAATGCCCTATTGTCACACAGAGAGCAACTAGACAAAAAATGAACAATGAAATATTAGAACTGAACCAAACTTTTGAACAAAGGGCCTTAGTAGATATCTATAGAGCGTTCTGCCCCACGCCATCAGAATTCTTAGCTGTATAGAGGAAGCTCATCAAAATAGGCCACACGCTAGCTCACAGCACACACTTAAGTTAATTCAAAGGAATGGAAATCATCCTCTGTATATTATCTGAAGATACTGCAACAAAATTGGAAATGAAGGGCAAAAACCCCACAAGAATTTCATAAACCTGCGGAAGTCGAATAACACCCTCCTGAACAACCAGACATTGAAGAAGAAATCAGACAGTTTCTACAATTAAATGACAATGCCAATATAATGAAAATGGTCATACTTGCCAAGCTGTTACACAGATATAACATGAGCCCTATCAAAATTCCAACAGCATATCTCATAGAACTAGAGAGAACAATCTTACAATTCATTTGGAATCAGAAAGACCTAAAAGAGGGGCCGGGGAGATAGCTCAGTAGAATAAATGCTTGCCTGGCAAGCACAAGGGCCTGACTTCAATCCCTGGTTCCAGGGGGGGGAAAAAAGACCTAAAAGAGCAAAAGTAATTCTAGACAACAAAGGCAAGGTGGAGTTGAAATTACACTACAAAGCTACAGTGATAAAATCGGCATGGTACTGGCAAAAAACAGACCCACACTGTTTCTCTGGTATAAGAAACTGAAATTGTAAAGAAAGAGGAAACTATAGAATAGATTTTGTGTTATGGAGAGAAAATGTTCAGTTGGGAAGGGGAACAAGGCAGGGGGGAAGGAGAAAGGAGGAAAGGGAAAAGAAAAGAGGATAGAAGGAAAGAATGAAACCAGCTTTTGGGAATAAGAAGAGCTGAAGGGAGGGGACAGGGCAGGAGAAAGAATAAGCAAGATATATTAGGTACTGGCACAAATTCATATTAGATATGATGCATATCTAAAATGTACCAATAAAATTTAAGAAAAACAAAAAGGGAAAAGAGGAAAGGGAAGGGAAGGGATGGAAGGAGGGAGGGAGGGAGAGAGCCAGCCAGCCAGCCTGCCCGCCCCTGGAACTAAGCTACAGCTTATCACAAAGGCTCTTGGTTCATTCCTCAGTACTGAAGAAAAAACAAAGCAGAGAAGCGAGAAGCTTTCGAAGAGCAAAGAACGAACTTCTGAAACACAGCAGACTCCAGGCAGCTGGGAGCTGCTCCCGTGGCCTGAGGGAAGGGAGCATTGGGCAGCTGTTTGGGTGTGGCCCTAGGACGTTCCATCAGGGACACTAGAGGTCTGTCCTGCTTCCATTATGAAAACATCATCCGTTAGCAAGCACTGCTAAGCGGGATTCCAAGCTGGGCAGAGGCTGCCCACCTGCAGCTCAGCGTGGTTGCTCGATGTTGCTGCAGACACGCTCTGGGTCCTTCCGGTCCACGAGACACCAGCCGCAAGAAGCACTGTAGTTTTTCTTTCAAGTTCTATCAGCCCTGAATGGTTTTGAAGTCCGTGATGGCTGCCACAAAGTCCCATTTTCTCCAGAACGAGCCCAGTGTTGAGCCACAACAAACCCCAATGGAAGTGCTTATCTTACACGGTCACACACATGCTGCGGGTGTACCCTGCCCGCCCCCTGCACAGACCTGCCACGCTGTCTCGTGTCTGCATGCACTGCCCAGCATGGAGGAAACGTGGAAGCTCTGAGAGCCTGGCCGCAGAGCCGGGTGCCACGTTGTCCTCTGTGCGGGGACACTCGTGACGGGCTGAGAGCCCAAGCAGCTACGAGGCGCAACAGTAGTGCGGCTGCCACGGTGTGGAGCACAGGCTGGCTCTTGGGTACACCCCAGCTGAGCGAGTTGGGAAGATTCTGTGCTTTCCCACTGCCACTAGGCAGGAAAGACATCCTGACTTACAGACCTCACGGCCACCTGGGAGAGGTCCTGACCTCAGGCAGTGCAGGCCAGGCTGAGGGTGGAGGGCAGGGCTAAGCACCTGGAGTTCACCTAGAAGGCAGGGACTCAAATTCCAGGTCTTTTGTGACCATGGCAAAGTCACGCATTGTCTTTCAGCCTCAACTGGTCTCTCTTGAAAAGAGTAGAAAAAATAAGTAAACCAACGCTTGCGCTCAAATCCTGAACTAAATCTGGGGCTTGCTCCGAATTGCAGCCATGAACATACTTTGTAAGCTGTGACCAAGAAGCGGAAGGAGCAGAAGGGACGGGGACATAAAAAGAATTAAGATATGTTCTGTGCACATACCAACTCCCCAGGACGAACACAATCATATGCTGCACACATCTACTCATAAAAATGAAACTTGAAAAAAACCTGTAAGTGCCTCACACAGGTCTGTGTGCAATGCTTCATCTATTCCTCATGCACTAGCTATGCCGAGGCTTCACAGCATGATTCCATCTCCTTGCAGCAGTCACCCCCTCGTGTCGGGGAGGAGAGAAAGGCATCAGGCGTCTAAATAACTCTCTGGGGTTCCCGAGTTAGTTAAGTGGTCCACCTGTTCCACTCCAGCGCCCTAATGCTAGACTGCTGACCACACGGGGCCAAGGAGGCCACCTCATACCATCCAGACACCCGCAGGAAGCCGCCAGAGCCCTGGTCTTGTTCCTCCCTCGCACTCGCAGCAAGCCAGAGGGGCACCTCTCACCTGGAGTCCTTCTCTGACAGCTTCCAGGAGATAGGGGATGATGGAGTAGTTCCACAAGTCTGTGAACCACACTCTCGAGCCGTCCACATCGATGGGGCATGACAGGAACAGCCGGGGGCCTGGGGCCACAGGAAAAGAGATCAGAGCTGAGAAGTGGGTGGGGTGGGTGCCCTGAGGCGCCCTGGCCTGAACGCGTTCACAGGAGGGCCCAGGATTTTCTGAGCTCTGGCAGGGGTTCTGATGGGAAGCTCTCTCCCAAGAGGGAAAAAGCTTCCAAGAAAAGATGTGCCCTGTGGTATCAGTAATCTTCATTTTTAAGATTGGAAACACATTCCCACGTCTAAGACAACAGAGCTAGTTAATGAACATTTACATTTGATGAATTTTATAGCTTTTCAAAAATCATTTTTAAAACTGAGCACCAACAGGGAATGCTCGAGAGACAAGGAGAAATGGGAAGAAAGGGACACAGCAGACGCACACGTGGCTGCAGTGACAGATGCGTGGAGGCATGCTTCTGCACAGAAGGAAGTGCAGGCTAAACGATGTCAGGACAGCTGCAGGACTGACCATCCTTCTTTCTAGTAAATCCGTACCCTTCAGAAATGCTGTTCAAACTCGTTCTAGATGAAGCCAACACCAAAGGATGGTTTGGACTGGGCGGGCCGTGGACTGGGGTTCATCTCTGGGCCAGCAATCTCTACCTCTGCCTGGGCAGAGCGTGCCTCTGCTGCTACTTGTCACCGAGGTCTAGTGCCCTGTCACATGATAAGCTGTCCTAGCCAGGTTCCAGACACATCACCACCTACCCACGGGCTTGCTTCCCCCCCCAGACCCCGCCTACCGATGGTGACGTCAGAGGAGCTGTGGGCCTCCAGGAAGCGGTTGAGGTGGTGCCAGACTTTGGGGATCCAGTCGATGATCTTCACCAGCTCCATGTTCCGCACCCGCCCACTGATCTCTGTCTCCATTAGCTTCCTCCTCAGGAACCGGCCCAGGAAACCTTTCACAGGCTCAGTGTGGTTGGCGCAGAGCACCCACCTGCAGAGGCCAATTGAGGATTGCCTTTCAACAACAGTCAGCAAGATGACGGCTACCCTCAACAAACAGCAGGGGTCCATGCTGCTATCTAATAGGGCTCCCAGTGCACCACTGCCCTAAACATTGCACACTTGCATGAGCTCCCAGTTGCTCCCAGCACCCTACAACGCAGGCAGCACCATCCTCATCTCACTGATCCAAAGTTCCGAGGCACACAAGGGTCACGTGGCTTATCTGGGCTCACAGGCTGGTGAGCGGCAGACCTTACAGCAGAACCATGCCAGACAGAGAGCCACCGCCTCTTGAGCCAACAGCGAGCCTGGTGCTGGGCTGCAGAACTGTAAGCGCGACACTGACAACACCCTAGGCTCTCACGAGCTCACTCGTGGTTAGTGGAGGAGAGTCAAGCAGATGGCAAAGCCCTACGAAGCCTGGAAAAGCTGTCTCGGTAAGACAGGAAGGAGGAGGGACAGCCGTATAGGGAAAGGCAGGCTGGGTGGGGAGGCGCTGGGCACAACACCGCCCTTGTAGCGGTGGGAGCGAGTGGGCTGCTCAGGGAAGCAGCTAGAGCTCGGCGTGACCAGGGCGCAGTCCTGCCCACTTTAGGAAATTTCCAGGTATAGGTAGGGGCAGCCACCAAAAGACTTCAGCCAGAGGCTCAGAGACAGGATGAGACTCTACAGTACCCAGGCAGGCCTGCAGGGGGCAGAGCCAGGCCCAGACACACTCCTTAGAAAATGATTGCGACAGCTAGGACAGCGCTAGCACAACCCAGCTGTGCACGGCAAGGAGTCTGTGTGACAGCTGGCAACAAGTGTGGACAAGCCCAGAGTGAGAGCGGAGCCATGTGCTCAGCTGCCTGAGGAGTTGACTTTTTCAGATAGTGACAATTCAGGCCACTTTGGGTATCCCCAGCCCAGCAGCCAAATTCTCAGCCTCACCTACAGGATCAGGCAGAGGAGGCCGAGCTAGCCAGGCTGCAGCGCAGGTTACAGGCACCGAGTGAGGATGCATAACTCACAGACCCTGCCACATGGGACAGTCACAAGAAAGAGCCAGTACCCTCATGTCCATCGGGGACAGAGATGGACCCCTGTGACGGTGCAGGGCCAGCGAGATGCCGCGAGCCCCCCAGGTGGCCTCTGTAACACTGCTCCAGCCACAGTTTCAGCTGAGATCTGAGCTCAGGATGAGGCTCCATCTATCACTGTCTGGTGGTGAGAACTCATGCATGCTTCAATGCTCTGCACGGGAGCGATGCCTACCTGAAGTTATGATGAAGCTGCAGGTTGGGGGTAGAAGAGGTAGCCTGGTTCATGGTGCCGATGATGTAAGGGCTGTGGGAACACAGAATGAGTGGGTGTGAGTCAGAGGCCAGCCAGACAGACAGCAAGGTGCTCGCCTCAGAGCCTGTGACATCCGTGTGTCTAGGCAGGTGGACCCGATTCCTCCCCTCCCCATTCAGCCTGTGACATCACTTCAGCAGCATGGAGGTCCAGGCTGCCTGCTTGCCCAGCCACCCCACAGAGAGCCACATCCTTCCATGAAAGTTCTGAAAGTGGCCTTTACCATTTGTGGTACTTGCAGTTGAGCAGCCCGTTGAAGATCTCACCCAGGGAGCTGACGTGGTGCAGGTTGTCCAGGATGATGACCAGGGGCATGTCTACTGCATTGTTCTCACTGTTGCACTGGTCGGCGAGGTTGGACAGGTACTGGCGCAGCTCCTACAGAGGCCGGTAGAACAAGCGGTGAATGCACTCAGGGCCTTCGGGCACTTTCCTTGAAGGTGCCATGCGGAGGGCACAAGCTGCGCATCTGCCCGCTATAGGGCACAGGCGTGGTGCTGTGGAAGGCTCCAGGGGCAGGGAAGGAAAACCCAGAGCCTGCACAGGTAAGGCAGCAAGTCCTGCCAGTACCAACTAGACAACAGCATCACAGGCATATTCTAAAATCCCTATTCTGACAATTCTCTAAAAATATGACTGCCTGTTATTTTTTACTACGCCAACCTCCCAGTGGCCTCCTGATGGCCGCTTCCTCCATCTCTATCCCCACAGCACCTGCCCAGGACCTGGCTACCCTGCAGCCCTCAGTAATTCAGGGCACAAGGTCCTGGTGCACAGGCAATGCTGAGGAGTGTTTGACACGCAGTCCCCACAGGGCGAGGTGAGACGCGAGTGCCTGTCCTGGTGCCGCTGCACACCCCAGCAGCCCTGGCCCTGCTCTTACTGCCCAGAGGCTGCCAACTCCTCTAACTCAGAAGCCCACACTCACCCTTTTTAAGTCAAAATGTGGTTTTCATGAGTAACAGAAAGCTCAGCTTCTTCCTCCTTCTCTCACCCCTCTGAATTGCAGGCTCTCGGCCCCAGGCACTAAGAAGAACAGAGCTCCCCAGGCCAAGGAGCCCTTGCTCCGTCCCTCATACAGGCCAGTGGGGCACAGCGGGGAGTGTGCCCGGCCCTGCCAGGGGAAGGAAGGGACCAAAACCCAACTGGGGCAGCCATGCTAGCCATACACCTGGGCTACCCTCCCCACCCTAAGAGCTGAGAGCACTTCTTGATGCCTTGCTCTTCCCTCAAACCCACCCGGGGAGCCTGTGAACCATGCAAGGTCCTGGCCCCTACACCCTATGGAAACAGACCAGCTGCAGGGAGGTGGAGGCCTCGGCTTCTCCAAGCACACCACATAGCCCGCAAGCCTTCCCAGGTGCCTGCGACGCCCCATGCCTCTGCACAAAGCGAGCCGGAACAAGCGACCTAGATACACTCACAAAGAACAGGGCTTGGAGGACACTTGGCAGCCCCAGCCGGAGCAGGGTGGACACTGTCCTCCCTGCATGTACTGCTTGCTGTGGCCACATCCTGTTCACTGAGCACAGGGCCCTGGAGTCCAACAACTAAACTCAAGTTCAGTTACACTGCTTAGTACAATCCCGGCGATCTCAGGTACCAATCGGCCTCAAGCTCTGTTTCCTTCTTTGTAAAACAGGGACAGCGACAACGGCCCCTGTGAGAAGGCCAGTGTGCGGCCCACAGCACAAGCAGGGTGAGAATGTGAGGTAGTGATTGTTGTACTCATCACTGCTGTGTTAGTGCTGTATCACAAAAGGTCTTATCTTCCTATCGGGAACAGAGGTGGCCTCTTAGTTCTGAAAGGGACCAGCAGGCTCAGGGTGGGTGCCTCACCTTGCTGGATTTATGGTCCACGTTGAAGGTGGCGATGGTCCCGTCTGTCAGTTCCCGCCCCTCCCGAAGCACCACGTATTCTGACAGCCGGTTGGCCAGGTAGGTTTTGCCAGTGCCGCTGGGGCCAGATAGGATAATCCTCCGGTGCTCCACCAGCAGGGACACGTAGCGCTGCAGGATGGGCTTGGGGATCAAGGACTCGAACACCAGCGAGTCCAGGCTGTTTTCTGCGAGTCCTGTGCATAAGAGAGACAGGAAGTACTTGAAGCCCAGTAGGAGAGGCAGCTCTGTACTCGCCTCACTGGGACTATGGAGCCCAATATGACCCTTTTCTCGGCAGTGTGCTCACCTAAAGTGGCTGGTACCCCGGGGGCTGCAAACACACCACTGCCACTCTAGAAAACCACCACCTGGGCTTGCTTTTGGGCTTATTTTGGTGACTCTGAGCTTTCGAGTCATCACCTGTTTTCTCCTGCCCACCAGGCACCCCTGTTCCCCACACTTAGGTATACCCCAAAGGCAACAACATTTTCATTTTATCTTGACAATGAGGAACAAGACAAGAGGTGAATGGGTCACTTGATTTTGCAAAGTGAATGCTGGCAAATTTAGGCAGAGCTGTGCCGTAGGGAGGACTCTGACCCTGTCCTGCCTGTGATCACTGCCGTCGCCAGGGTTGCGGGCTTTTCAAAAGAATTATTTTCTGGCTACCGTCCTCAACAAAAGATCCACCCCAGGGTTAGCTGTCTGGAATATTAGGTAATTCTGCTTTAAACATCCCCTTCTAGGGCTTTGGTTCTGTTTTATAATATCATCTTCCTTATCCAAAATTACTCACTGTGAGGAAGGACGTGCTGACACATTTCTGGGCTTCGATCTAATCCCAACCACTGCTCTGAACGCGCATGAGCAAAGTCCCCACGTGCCTCACCTGCTGGGGACAGGCTGAGGATCCTCCTACTACTGAGCCCCATCTAGTCTCTATGGGCTTGAAACTCCATACAAAGTGTTTGTAATGTGAGACTTGGAGTCTAAATTCAATAATGGTATTACTACTAATGATAATCGCAGGGGCAAATCATTAAGACACTGTGCATATATGCTTTGTGTCCTTCTGTCTTTTGCCTGAAGCCCCCAGGGAATGGCGATCTTGGAGATGAGAAGTCACCCCTCCCTGTGGCTCCACTGGTCAGTCTCTGCAGCCCATGGATCTCTTTCAGCTTGAACCCTGAGGAAGTCTGTGTGCTCTAAGAGCCCACGTTTTAGGCAGTACAGGAAAACACAGGAGTCAGGTGTCCAGGAAATACAAACCTGCGCCGATCCCTCTAGATGCTAAAACTTGATGTGCTGAGAGCCAGCAACCAAGGACCAGGCTCAGTGACGGTGGCCTGTTCACGAGTGGCTGAGAATGGGGTCACTGTTGTTCTTTTTTTTTAACCTCTCAGGACTTGGAGCACCCGTGTGGCAAATGAGCACGGGATAGCCCGTGCCTGGCAGCATGGGCAAAATGCAGTGTAGGCCCAGGGGGCAGAGGGCTGTCCTTTAAAGACTGCTTTTAGACAGTCATTGTTTCCTGCCTCCCCTGGGAGCAGAATTCTTTCCTAGGGGGAGCTCAGCCCAAGGGTCCAGCAGAGCCCATCTGACCTTTATCCTCTCTAAGGGATGGACCAGACCTTCTCCTTGGTCATATTGGGAATTTTCTGGGACCCTATTGCAGACAGAGCTTTGAGGTTCTAAAGCTAGAAGGATAAACCAAGACTCTAAGGCCCCTTCACCAATCATATAGCGGGAGCTTAAAAACAATCAGCAAAGCAGAGACAAGACAAGCCGAGGTAGGCCCAGGTCTGACAACACGACTTGATCCCTAGATCAAGCCTCCAGCATTGCCCAGCTCTCTGAGCCCCTGCTGTACATGACCCTTAACGATACAGTTACATTTGAATTCTTCTGTCACTTGTAGGTCAGGGGCACAGCTGTGGAATTTCACTGCCAGCAAGCTTGGGTGAGGCCTCCCCTGCCATGTGCTGCTCATTACCACCAGAATGGGCTTCCTGGTAGTGGGAGACATTAGGGTGCTTTTGGAAAACCTACCGGCCAGAAAATAAAATTTGCATGGAGCTCTGAAATTATGGTGAAAACTGCAAACAAGATCAGAGCCTTTCAAAAACGTGAGGAGCGCCAGAGCTTGAAATGTGGGCCTTGGGCTGGTGAGATGGCTCAGTGGTCTAAAG